AGAGAGAGAGAGATATAGTTTTGCTCCAAAACTTCCAACCCTCAAAAATGAAAGGGGAGGTCTTCTACTTATAGAAAAACATGAAACTTCCTCAGAAATATCCTTACATAGATATGTGGGCAGATGCATGCACCTGTGGAAACAACTGGTACAACTGGCATAAATATCTGCAAAAACACACAAGTGGCCGACAGGCCACTAATGTTGGCCGGCAAGCCACACAAATGACCGGTAGCCCAAACTAGTAGGCTTGTAGGTTTCAGGGTTTTTAGGCTTGAAAAATTGTGGTTTTGGTCCAAAACAAGTCACAAGATGTGTAGGGTTTGAAGGCTCAAAGCTGTGGCATTCTGCTGAGGATTTCGAGCACTTGACAAGCATATACAAATTTATCATTGGGTGCACAACCGGTGACGCCCAAGTCATAAGGGCGGTCAAAAATGGGGTGTCTACACCTGCTCGATTATTGCCCTTTCGGGGGTCATAATTACTACGACTGCCCCGCTGCCACGTTGGTTGGATGATCGATTACAATACATTTGCCAAATGTCTCCAACATACATTCTCCAGTCGGGTTGAGGTTAAAGGTGGACTTGATCAGACTTAAAGTTAGCATGGCATCCCATGAACTCGGCTACAAAGTCGGCGAGCACCTACCCTTTAATGGCCATTCTGGGCAAAATCGGGATGTCATACTGGCCGAGTTCCAAAGCCCATTTAGAGACTCGCCCCGATGTTTCCGCGCTACGGAATGCTGCTTGGAGAGGATAGTCCATTAATACCCTTATGGTATGAGCTTGAAAATAGTGCATCAGTTTTCTAGCAGCCACCACGAGAGCTAGGATGAGCTTTTCCAGTGGTAGGTATTGTGTTTTGGCGTCAACTATTGCCTTGCTTACATAGTAAATTGGTCACTGCTCCCCGAATTTTTCCTTTAGTAACACGGCGTTAACCGCCCGGTCGGATATCACCAGATACAAGATGAGCGGATCGCCTGGCGATGGGGTTGGCAAGAGTGGCACTGAATGGAGATAAGTTTTCAAGCCATCCAGCGCGACCTGGCACTCAAGGGTCCATTCAAATGCTTTGCCCTGCTGAAGTATGTGAAAAAATTGTCGGCAGCGATCTAAGAAACGGCTGATAAACCTATTGAGGGCGGTGGCCATTCCCATCAACTTCTAAACTTCTTTAGCCGACTGAGGCGAGCCGAGTTCTAGAATTGCTGTGATCTACCTCGAGTTGGCCTCTATTATGCGATGGTTCACAATATAGTCGAGAAACTTGTCAGATCCGATACTGAATGCACATTTCGATGCATTCAGTTTCATTTTGTACCTTCGGAGAATGCTGAAGGTCTCTGCTAAATCGGCTAGATGGGCATGCTTTTCCTTGGATTTCACCACCATGTCATCAATGTATACTTCCATAGTGCGGCCGAGTTGTTCCTTAAACATAGTGGTAACCAGCCTCTGGTATGTTATCCCCGCATTCTTCAGTCCGAAGGGCATGACCTTATAGCAATAGGTTCCCCTTGGGATGAGGAATATGGTATTTTCCTAATCCTCTAGATGAATAGCAATTTGGTGATAACCTCTGTAGGCATCCAAGAAGCTCATGTGTTGATGATGCGCCGTTGTGTCTACAAGTTGGTCGATTCTTGGAAGAAGAAAGCAATCCTTGGGATAAGCCCTGTTCAAGTCCGTGAAATCCACACAGACGCGCCAAGATCCATTTTTCTTTTTTACAACCACAGTATTGGATAGCCACGTGGGATAAGTTACTTCACGAATTGCCCCGGCATCAAGCAACCTATCAACTTCATTAACAACAACCGATGCATGCTCCGCGGCTGACCGCTGACTTTTCTGAATGATTGGTTTGACTTTTGGATCGACGTACTGTATTACTGTTCTGCAGGCCTTCGGTAATCTCGGATTACTGGCCGGTTACGGTGCTAAACCCATGGGGCCAGGTTTGGGTCGTGACAACTGGATCCACCCCTAGCATTTCATATGATGTCTAAGCAAACACGTCAATGTTACCAAGTAAAAAGGAAACCAGCTCGCGTCTTTTAACTTTATTTATGGAGTGTTGATTATAAAGAACTTGTCAGGGTCCCCATTGATTTCGACCCGATCAAGGTCTTCAGTTGCCTTCTCGCTATGGGTTTTCCCAATGTCCTCAAGGCTTTCTCGATCTAGTACTTCAATCGAGTTCACTTCCAGTTCGTTTGGCCTTTTTACAGAAGCAATAAGATAGCATGCCTGTGCCGATTTCTAAGAGCCCTGAATTTGCTCGATGCCATATTCAGTTGGAAAGTGGAGTAGTTGATGGTAGGTGCTTGGCACAGCCTGCATAGCGTGCAACCAAGTTCTTCTCATGATAAGATTGTATGGTGACAGGAGTTTGACGACCAGAAATTCCACGTCGACTGATTTGGTACCCGTCCGTACTAGTAGTGTAATCTTGCCCAAAGGGTACTCAGGGTTGGCGTTGAAGCCGAACAGTAGGTAATCGGCCGGTAACAGATCCAAATCAGTGAAGCCGAGTTTAATGAGTGTCTTTTAATACATTATTTCTGAGGTGTTTCCCTAATCAATGAAGACACGTTCAACCGTGAATCTGTTCACGCATAGCTCGACGACGAGGGGATCAGCGTGGAGGAGAGTTACTCCATCTAGATCGGTGTCATCGAAGCTAATCTTGCCAGTTTCATGGGGTCGCTTGGCTGGTGTGATTGGCTTGGACGGGCTAAGGTGCAACTAAATTGTATGTACTTAGGACGGCTATGGTAGACTGTATATTATGTGAATTACACCAAGTTGAAGTGAATCCGGCCAAAAGGCTACCGTGTTTGGTGGATTGTTTTTTCGGATATGTTGCGCCAGCCGATCGTCTTGCACTAACTCCTCCAGGTGATTCTTTAGTGCATAACAGCTGTCAGTGCCGTGGCCATGGTCCCTGTGATATTTGCACCGCTTATCCCTCCTTCTAGCATCAAGAGCCCCCCATTATCTTGGATGGCCACTTAAAGAACGGAAGATGCTGGACTTTGCGTAGGATTTTACTGATCGGCTCTGCCAATTCTGTATACTTCTTGTCCGAACGTTTGGTGTGCCTGCTATCCACGTAATACTGTTCGTTCGAACAATACGAACACTGCCCACTTGATCAGCATGAATCACGCCGGTTGTCTCGTTTAGCCTGAATCTAAGGTTCAGGGCTCCTTGGTGGCATGGCGTTTATCGGCTGAACCAGACCAGTCGACGCCGATTTCACGACTTTCTGTACGGCCTTGACATAGAGGGCATCATCTTCTATCTTGCAGTACTCCTCAACTTTCTTCATTAGTGCCCAGACTGTTTTAGGGGGCCGTCTGGTGAACGAAATTCGGAGAGGACTATCAGGGTGTAACCCCATCTTAAAGGTGGTAATGGCCATGGAATCATTATAGGCATCATCCACCAAGTTGAAACACTCTAATAGCGCAGTACTCCTCAACTTTCTTCATTAGTGCCCAAACTGTTTTGGGGGGCCGTCTGGTCAACGAAATTCGGAGAGGACTATCGGGGTGTAACCCCATCTTAAAGGTGGTAATGGCCATGGAATCATTACAGGCATCATCCACCAAGTTGAAACACTCTAATAGCGCACTAAATACTCACGGAGGGTCTCTTCTGGTTTAATTTGCATCTCCTAGAGAGAGTTAGCTTACTTTGGCTGAACCTCGTTGGTAATGAATCTTGCCCTGAAGGATTTTTGGAGCTGATGAAAGCTTTTTATTTATGTCGGCTCCAGTTTATAGTACCATCTGATGGCCAATGGTCCCAGGCTACTTGGAAACATTCGACACATGAGGGCTTCATCATCAGCATGCAATGTTATCACTTGTTTGTAATGACGAATATGGTCTGTGAGATCTGACTATTCATCGTACAGGGTGAATGTGGGTTTTTTGAACTTTTTAGGCAGCACAACCCTTGCAATGCATCGTACGAAAGGGTCGTGCATGTTCTCTTCATCTGAACCATCACTTCCTTCCCCTCGCCTGTGCCGTGCATACGGACTTCCCTCGAATAAGATGGATATATCAACTCGCCCCTTTTTTCTGGGTTCTTGAGATGGCAAGTCAGAATCACTGCCACTATCATGTTTCCGATGTCGTCGATCATCTTTCTTCTCTGGCGATCGACCCCGATCATGACGTGTAGCCTGTTGGGATTTGGCTAACTCCAGGGCCAATTCCTTACGTAAGCGCTCATTATAAGCCGCCATATCTTCCAGACGTTGTTCGTTTCGTTTTTCTTTATCCATGATCGTCTGCATGGTCTTCTGCATAAAGGTTGAGGGTGAGGTTTGAGCCACTGGGTCGAAGTTCAGGGCCCTTCGCGCGGTGATATTCTCTAGTCCAAGCATGTTTCTTGGAGTAACATCATCTCTGGGTGTAACATCGTCGGCAACGAGTGAAAGACCATCTGTCATGCCTCCCATGAACACACTTGAGTATTCCCACAGATGACGCCAATTGTGGTAATGTGGTTTGGAGATCCTCTAGTTGCTACCTGAAAATGGAAATGAACACTCCGGTTGGGGGTGCCAGAATTAGCACTACGATGGACAAATCAGTATTTTCTCAAGTTTTCTTATTTCACAAGTTATCTTCTTTGTTTTCACATACCTCCTTTGGCTAATGCTCCTCCTTTTTATATTGCTCTCGAGGGGCCCACTTTCCCATCATCACCTTTCACCATCACATATAGGATCCCCAGATATGCCAGAAGCTTTTCAACATACTCGGCCCGCGAGATAGATTCTACTTGGCCTTGGTCTGGTTTAGATAGGTCTAGTCATGCCGAGTTATCCTCACCAGTCTTCTCGGCATCCTCTTTGAGCAGTTCACCTGAGCAGTCACTTTTATTCGCCCCCCACAAAGCTAATGACCAAATCCATAAAAAATTCACACAGTGACTAAATCTAGTACCTTTGATACGGCGGAGGAGGCGATGTGCACTTACAACTACGCCGCTCAAGCGATGCGTGGAGTCAAGGCGAGAACCAACTTCGTTTACCCATCTTCACCTCCTCATTCAATCATCGACAATCTCATCCCTCTGTTTCACTACAAGAAATCATCTCAGTCCTCTATGAGATATATACCTAATCGAAGCTTTGCTCCTCCTCCTCCTCCTCATGTCGGTGACTTCTCTGGTTCTTCTCTCAGCATGCTTCTCTTGCCTCAAACTATGTCTATGTACGATCAAATTCCATATATCGATCACTGTGGTTCTCAATCATATACTGGGTCTCTCTCTGTTTTGCTCTTCTAATGTCTCTAAGAGCTTTGCAGGTTCATTTCTCACTCAACCCAAAGTCAAAGATCATCGAGAGGGAGAGAAATGAGATTTGATTTGAAGACTCAAATTTTTCTGTGATGTATGAGTGTGAGGTTGAGGGACCTTAGACATCAGAAAATAATATTGTGGATATCTTCCATCACTAAAAATGGGTGAGAGACCTTAGACTAATTTTCCCATTAAGATTTTATAAGATAAATGACATGTAATATTTTTATAATAGTTAGGGTCCTTCAACATTATCGAGGTATTTTAACTAATAAGAATATATATATATATATATATATTAGATATCTCCTACAACTAAAAGTTGGAGAGTGATATTTCATTAATTTTTCCTTTCATAAATTATTTGCAAAAAGTTCAATTCTTCATAATAATATATTTTATTTCAATTTTACCATTTTGATTAAAATATGAACAAAAAATTAATTTATTATTTTTTATAATAAAAAACTTTAATCGTTGACATTAAATAAATTTTTATTACGCATTGAGAAATATATGAATTTGCTAAGGAATTATTTTTCATAGGTCTATTGATGAGATTTTAATAAAATTTAGTTTTTAGAATTTTTTTATCAAAAAATAAATAAATAAATTATAGTTTGAAACAACAAAAAATAATGAATTTTATGCCATAATTTTTTCAATTCAATTGTTGTTTTATGCTTTTGTTTAATATGATATTCATAATTTTTATAATTAAAAAATAAAATTTAAATTATTCATAAAATTATTTTTGATAAAGAAGAAGAGTTGATAACTTTGTTATTTTGTTTATCGTGCGAAATAAAACAATTAGGCCCTGTTTGGAAATTGGCTATTTTAGTTGACTTTTTGATATTTTATAAAAAGATGTACAGAAAAGTAGAGAGAATGATATAAAAATTTATAGTGACTTTTTTTAAATTTTTTTGACTAAAACATGTGCTTGCCAAACGAGATCTTTGTTGGTATTTTTCCATAATAATATATAAAATATATATAAAATAAATTAAATAGAAATGACAAAATAATTCTTTTAAATTAAAATGATGAAATACAGAATAAACAACACAACTAAAAATATATAAATGAATTAGAATACATTACTAATAGAACAAATTATTAACATGGATAATTAAGTTGGAACTCATTTTTGTAAACTAAATATTGAAAAAATTAAGAATAAATGATAAAAAAAGAAGCAAATCGAAGCCTGCACTAGATAGTTTCCTTAAAACAGATTCACCGCCTTCCGATAGATGTTAGAGGTACGCCGGCGTCTGTCTCTCAGAATACGACGGTTAAAACCAGCTAATACAGAAGCACCTTCTGAATAGTTTCGACAAACTTGACAATGACTGCACTCTTTCTAACAAGAACCAAAGAAGGGGCTAGTAAAAAAGATAAGAAAAAAAAATTTTGGTGTAAAATAAACATCTCCAACTTTTTATCTCAAAACACCATCTCCATTTTCCATCAAAAATCTCTCTAAAATTCTTTTTCTAAGTTGGAGGGGAAAAGCCTCTATTTATATAAGTAGGGAAATCCTTAACCATGAAGGTTATACATCAATAGAGCTATCAAATGCCATTAACCAAGGCGATCAACTCTAGCCATTAGGGCTAGAATTACAAAAGTTGAAAACCTATGGCCACTAATTTAGTCATCAACTCCGTCATCAAAAGATGAGTGTTACAAATTTCCAAACCTCCCATGTACTTAATATATATGAACAAATATGTATATAACGATGTTTAAATAAACCAATTAGATGGGTCACAAAATAGATATTAATATTTGATTATAACCCGATTCAAACCCAATTCTTAAACACATGCATAAGCTAAAGCCAACACAACATAACTTAACACAAGCTTAAGATTAAGTCTAAGTCTAAGTTTAAGTCTAAATTCAAGACCAAACCCAACACAAGCATAAACACAAGTCTAGGTCCTCTTCAAACTAAGGTTAAGTCTAAATCTAAACCTAACTTTATTTATGCCCACTTTATGAGGCAATTCTTATTCATTATACAATGATTTCGGCTCATTATTTTTATATTGTAATCTTCTCACTTGAGATAATACAAAACCACTCAAACCAACTTCAACCAGCGGTTGAATCACACTTTAATTTTAAATTAAAATTGTTAAAAAATTATTATTTTTCAAAAATCTTTGTAAATTTTAATCCACTAGTCAAATCAATCCTTAATTATTGGATGAAACAGCGTGGATTAGGCAGAATTGAGCACGTTATTAAATTCTATTTTAATCATATTTTACTTTAATTTTTTTAAGGAAAATGTCTCGTAACTCAAATTTTGTGACTTAAAAGTGGTTCAAATGGCCAAAACGGTCATTTTGGCCATTTTTATATTGTTCTGTACTCAAAACGACGTCGTTTTGGCCATTTGAGTCACAAAATTTGAGTTACGTAGCATTGTCCTTTTTTTAATTACAATTTTTACCGCCTAAAATGTTAACAGTCCCGCTGCATACCCCCAGTGGGGGTCGCACCCCCAGTGACGCGGCGCGCCCCCACTGGCTGAAAACTCAAAAAAAAAAAAAAAAAAAAAAAATTTTTTTTTGGGCCAATTCCGGAGTGACACCTCACTGGGGTCGATCCCAGTGGGGCTAGGAAGCATTTTTGAAATGTTAATACATTAAACCAAAAAAAAAAATAGTCGCCGCCGCATTGAGTGGGAAAGTGATGACCAGCAGTTGCTCCACCCACCGACAATGGTGGTGTTCAAACACACACCCCTTCTCTCTCTCTCTCTCTCACTTTCCATAAATCTCTTTGCACACACTAGTACAGTACAGAACAAAGCCACTGACCACTCTCTCACTTTCCATAAATCTCTTTGCACACACTGGTACAGTACAGAACAAAGCCACTGACCAAAAATATTCCCCATTTCCATTCCAATACAGTGGTAGACACTTCATTAAAAAATGCAATAATTTAATCCCAAAAAAAATCAACAAAGAAAAACAAGTCCCCTTTCTCTCCTCTCTCCTCTCTCTCTCTCTCTCTCTCTCTCTCTACTCAGATCCCTACAATGGCCACCACTAAACCCATGATCATCACTCTCTCCTTCATCATCTTCTTCTTCATTCTCCTCAATTCTCAACGGTCCGATCTCAACCCAGACTGCTCCAACCGTTGGATCCACATCCGAAACCTCCCCACCCAATTCAACCTCGACCTCCTCTCCAGCTGCTCCCATTTCCCTCTCTTCACCGACTTCTGCCCCTACCTAACCAACCACGGCCTCGGACCCAAGACCCACAACCATAGCCACAGCTGGTTCCGCACCGACCCATTCATGCTCGAACTCATCTTCCACCGCCGCATGCTCGACTACCCCTGTCTCACCTCCGACCCCTCCGCCGCCTCGGCCGTCTTCCTCCCCTACTACGCCGCCCTCGACTCCCTCCGCTTCCTCTACGGCCCCGACCTCAATTCCAGCTCCCACCACGGCCTCACTCTCTTCCAATTCCTCCAAACCCACCACTCCAAAATCTGGGACTCCCGTCACGGCCACGACCATTTCTTGGTCATGGCGAGACCTGCGTGGGATTTCAGCCAGCCCATCTCGATCCATCAACCACCCATTTGGGGCACTTCGTTCCTCGAATTGCCTGAGTTTTATAATATTACTGTTTTGACATTGGAATCCAGAACCTGGCCTTGGCAAGAACAAGCTGTGCCTTACCCGACCTCCTTTCATCCACCTAATACCGCGTTTTTCGACTCGTGGGTCAGTCGGGTCCGCCGTTCTCGGCGTACCACCTTGATGTTGTTCGCCGGTGGCGGCGGTATCTCGGCGTCTCCAAATGTACGGCGGAGCATTCGGCTCGAATGCGATAATAATAGTACTAATTTGAGGATCAGGAATGGTAGTAGTGGGTACTCTAAATTGTGTGAATTTGTGGATTGTTCGTATGGGATTTGCGAACACGATCCGATTAGATTTATGAGGCCGATGTTGAAGTCGAGCTTTTGTCTTCAGCCACCGGGGGATACTCCAACGCGGAGGTCGACATTTGATAGCATTGTGGCGGGGTGCATACCCGTGTTTTTTGAGGATCAATCGGCCAAGTCGCAGTATGGGTGGCATTTGCCGGAAGAGCAGTATGGGGAGTTTTCGGTGTTTATACCGAAAGAGGATGTGGTGTTCAAAGGGCTGAGGGTTTTGGATGTGTTGATGAGTATACCGAGAGGTGAAGTTAGGAGGATGAGAGACAAGGTTTTGGAGATGATGCCTAGAGTTATGTATAGGAAGCATGGAAGTTCATTGGCCTTGAAGAACAAGAAAGATGCATTTGATATTGCAGTTGAAGGTACTTTGCAGAGGATCAAATCTAGACTGAAAGAAGTTGGTATGAAATAAGACCCGATAAGGCGTGACTTCAGACTTCGCTTTTGCTAATTTAACCAACCATAATCAGTTAAAATTAAAAAATAACGTGATGATCTAAGACACCAAAAATGGATTCCTACAATTCCCCTTGTAATTTTTATATTTTGTTGTGTTGCTTTTGCTCCTTTCACCTTATTTATTTCACCACAAATGTTGTACATAGAAGAGAAAATTAGATGTTTTGTATTCATTGATAATAATAAATCATGTAATTTTGGGCTGCAATATTTACTTGGCCTGTTATTTCTGTTCCACTTCTTGTACTTTTGAGTGTTTGGCAATGAAGGCACATCTTCTTCACCGGCAAAAACATTAACCCCCACGCTGTGACTCCATGGACTGCACAATGTGCTCAATAAGAAATATCAAAAACAAATTATATTCATGTCTTGGAAAAAATAATTAACATTTATTCATGGTGCAAAATTTTAAAGGTAACAAAATCTGAAAAAAAAAAAAAAAAAAAAAAATTGAAAAAAAAAAAAAAAAAAAAAAAAAAAAAAGGCGATCATCACTAGGAGTGTAGGATTTTCAGTTTTATCCCCATCGAACAATGGCAGAACCCCACGTAAGACCAGCCCCAAAACCAGCAGCTGCTATCATATGGCCTGATTTCACCTTCCCACTCCGTACAGCTTCATCCAATGCCAACGGAATGGATGCTGCGCTTGTATTACCGTAGTTTGCCAAATTCGATATGACCCGTTCTGGTGGGACTTCTAATCGTGTTGCAACTGCATCAATGATCCTTCGGTTTGCCTGCGTAAACCAATTATTTTGTATGATTAATCAGAGAACTAATACACACAAGCAAATATGTGCACATGAGAAATTCTTGGGGTATAAGATATGCCTGAACTAACAAAAGTTATCTCGTTTTAGTTTTGAAATGAGGAAAAATGAGAGACAAATAAGTGCTGTTTGGTGTAATTTATATGAGCCACTTATAGTGTTTATAGTTTGGAAGACTCCGTCAAAACTGGTTGGTACGGCTTCACTTACCGTTTATCAGGCAAAAATAGCTTAAATAAGTTGAAAAAAACTATCTGGAAGTTGGGGAAGGAGTATTTTTGGTTTTTGCTTTTTGATTATCAGGGTTTAACTTACAATAAGTTGCACCAAACAAGCCCATGATTGAGTACAACTTTTTATTGTAAAATTTAAAGGTTCAAATACCTGCAATTAAGTAATCAACTAAAACAATTTGAAGATTTGATAAAGCCTATTATCCTTGTAGACTATGTTTCATACCTGATGGAGAAGTAACCAATCAATGCTAGACCCAGAGAGACCAGCCTTTTCGAGCGCGGACTCTATTGACTGTGGTACATACCGTACAACAAAGCGAAAGACCTCTTTACCATTCATCTGGATGCAGGAATAAGAAGAGCGTTTGGGAGGAAAGCCTAACACTGAACCATTGGAACCCAAACCAAGATCCGCTTCATTTTCGTTCATGGTGGAGGCATTTAAGTGCCTGCATGGGGGGGATAGTACTCAATTCTCATTCTTCTGTAAAAGATGCCCAGAGTATGTTTTCTAAAGAAGATAAGAACACAAACCTCTGGCCATCACCGTCACTATGCAAATCAAAACCAAATAAACCGTCCTCCTCACTACTGCAGGCCTGCAGAACAACTATAATTATCAATACAGATACAAGAGAACCATCCCACTAGTACCAAGAAGAGGTATGCCAGACATTTAAACCAATTTTATCTAACCTATAAAAAGAAATAATAATCAAACAAGAGTTAAAATTCAACCAGGACTTGATTAGGTGAAGTCCTCATAGCTGACCACGGTGAAATTCCATAATTGTAGTTTTGCTTAACCCTAGTGGTAAAGCCCTCATAGCTGGTCCTGATATTGCTTGTGTGGTTTTGCTTAACCCTTGTAACAGTCTTCCTTCTCTTCCCAAAGTGACCAATTTAATATTTTTGCAGCATTATTCATAGCCTCTTCCCCTCCTGTTGGTTTTCAATTTACCACTCACAACCCATACAACATCATTTTCCAGAGATCTCTAGCAACTGATTTCTGAATCTTCAGCAACCCGAAGAAGTGAGAGAAAAGGAAGGCAGAAGCTGTCATTACTTGGAAGACAAAGCAAAGACTATGCAAAATCTCACACCCTTTCCATCGGTGAGCAGACTCCAAAGAATAAAAGAAAAATGAAAACAAGCAGACCATCAGTCAATAGAATACATTGTCTATCAGCAACACCTTGTCATTTAGACACCAATTTGTACAATCTCTGGGATGAGTATCAACCTAAGACTTAAACAGTATAGAAGTTTAGAAGTTGATGGAAGAATTGGTTACTACCTATCATGAAAAAGAGCTCTCACCGCATAGCAGATTCAAAAATATTTTCATCTGAAAGAATATAAATGCACAAGAACCACATCACCCTAATCTAGATATTAAGTCCTAAAAAATAATAAAACAAAAACCGAAGACACATTACCAATAAGCTAGGAACAATGTATATCCAGATTGCAGAAACACAAGTAATCTACATATAAGTTCCACGAGTTCTAGAGAAGAAAATTGAAGAGCCCATTACCTGTACTACGACAGCACCAGCAGCATCACCAAAAAGAATACACGTCCCTCTATCGGTCCAATCAACGTAACGAGAAAGCGCGTCAGCCCCAATCACAAGGACATTATTAAAGCCACCTCCTGCAATTTACAATAGTAGAGTTCAGTTTTAAACGTTTTATAATTGTTTGAACTTTAATTGAGATCTCCTACAGCAATTAATAAAATGTTACCCCGAATATAACAGGCAGCCGAAACTAGACCCAACAAAAACCCACTACAAGCAGCTGTAATATCATAAGCCAGTGGATTTCCTTTGCAGCCAAGTGCCTTTTGGATCTGAAATGTGACATAAAATATAAATTAAAAGCACATAAGAAAATTTAGAGTGCTTGTCATACCAAATGTGGAAGAGATCAATTATCATAATCAGGCAACAGTATTTCAAATAGAATTTGGCAGGGAGCTCTGCAAAAATGTTAAGTTATAGGTCATGTATGTGAAAGCCTAACATTAAGAGTTTAATATCTAACTGTTAACAAAGACAAAAGCATATTCTTACTGGCCTAATACAGTTTTAAAGAACAATTTCAAAGCCCTTCTCCATGGTGCAAAACATAATACCATAATCATTACAGAGTAACTAAATTAGTGTCTAAACTATTCCTTTACAGGCATTGCAAGAGCATATTTATGTTCGTTAGCTAAGCTAACAACTGAAAAAGAAACCACCATCATTGCCCTATCATTATTCATAAATGGCTATAAAACAATTAACTAACTTACGGAAACTGATACAACTTTCAAAAAACCTCTAGTAAATCAAGGTAGGCAACTTATTATACAATCTAAGACTATAAATTATCACACATCATTCAACAATAGAACTACAATAACAAATGCAAGGATCAGTGTATTGCCCCAACAAAATTGATTCTCTCTCTCTCTCTCTCTCTCTCTCTCAACGTTTTGAAGAGTAACTTTCTTTGCTATGTTGTTTTCTTGTCATGCATTTTCAAACTCTATCTAACTGTTAACAAAGACAAAAGCATATTCTGACTGGCCTAATACAGTTTTAAAGAACAATTTCAAAGCCCTTCTCCATGGTGCAAAACATAATACCATAATCATTACAAAGTAACTAAATTAGTGTCTAAACTATTCCTTTACAGGCATTGCAAGAGCATATTTATGTTCGTTAGCTAAGCTAACAACTGAAAAAGAAACCACCATCATTGCCCTATCATTATTCATAAATGGCTATAAAACAATTAACTAACTTACGGAAACTGATACAACTTTCAAAAAACCTCTAGTAAATCAAGGTAGGCAACTTATTATACAATCTAAGACTATAAATTATCACACATCATTCAACAATAGAACTACAATAACAAATGCAAGGATCAGTGTATTGCCCCAACAAAATTGATTCTCTCTCTCTCTCTCTCTCTCTCTCTCAACGTTTTGAAGAGTAACTTTCTTTGCTATGTTGTTTTCTTGTCATGCATTTTCAAACTCTAATAATTGCTAATGAGGTTTGTTTCATGCATTCAATTATGGATGACTTCAAATCAAATTTAGTATTGCTATTACAGCAGGCATTGCAATGGACTAAGCCAAAAGTGAGCAGCTTGGACTAGGCTGATTAAAAAGTTGATTCAGGCTGGTTCACCAATTAAATCAGCCAAGCTCAAGATTCAAGCTCATTTCAGTAACAAGCAATTTAGGCTCATTAATGTTTGACGTAGATATTGTGATGTTGTAACATCAATAGTTCAGCAACTTTTTAAGAGAAAGTGACCTGAAAAAGAAAAGTTGTCCATAATAATTATGCAAACAATTTATGAATAATAGAGTAAGTTTTAGACATTTTAATCATGAATTTTTATTTTTTAAAAGGTAGCATGCAAGGGCAACAATTTAGCATTAAGCTAATGCAGATGCTTGGGTAGACTTGTGAACAAGTTCAAACTTGACAACATCTATACAAACCAAAATATATATCGTGAATTCGAGATCACATGATGAATAAACCCAAGCCAAATTATGTATATCCTGACAGCATTATCAACAAACAAAATACAATTCATCTTTGGCCAAAATTGTTAGAATTTTTATCCTAAGAAATTAATAATTTGTGTTTTGGCAATACCTCTCTTGACAAAACTTAATATCATGATTATTGATTCAAGTTATTTTGTTTTTCTTAAATTGATTTCTATATTTATCATCTTGTTTATTGTGCCTCGCAGATAAATCATGATCTTTCTTGAAATTGTTTTTTGTTTCTTATGCATGTGTTTTATCATTGAGGATACCGGTTTTAAACTGTATTATAGTGGTAAGAATAGACGCAAGAATGGGGTAGGAATCATAGTTTAGATGATTAGACTAAGAGGGATTCTTGGGAGCAGATGGATGAGATCTTACAGGAGATACCCGTAAGAAAGAACCTAGTTATAGGTGGAGATTTCAATGACCATCTCGGCATCGATAAATTAGGCTATGAAATGGTGCATGGTGGATATGGTTTTGGTGATAGAAATAAGGCTGGAGAGAGTATCTTAAATTTTGCGTTGGTTTTTGACCTGGTGGTGGCCAATACTATGTATAAGAACACGGAGGAGTATTTGATAACCTTTAAGAATGGGTCAGTTAAGAGCCAAATAGATTACTTTTTAGTGAGAAAAGTGGACCGCCTAAAATGCAGTGATTGTAAGGTGATTCCTGTAGAGAGCCTAACCTCTCAACATAGGATTTTGGTACTAGATTTATATTTTAAAGGGCAATACCAAGCTAGGAAGGATGATGGGCGTCGTAGGACGAGATGGTGGGACCTCAAAGGGGATGAACTAGAAATATTTGCGAATAGAATGGATAAAAAAGGTGCTTGGGACTTGGAAGATGATGCTAACATTATATGGAACTCGATGGCCAATTGTATGAGGAGAATCTCAAGGAAAGTGCCTGGAGAGTCGAAAAGAATGAGACTCAACTTTAGGAAAACTTGGTGGTGGAGGAAAAAGATTCAAGCGGTCGTTAAGGCAAAAAAAGAGTGCTTTAAAAAGTGACAAAAGAATAGAACTGGGGAAAACATTAAGAGCTATAGATTGGCTAATAAGAAGGTTAAGAAAGTAGTGAGCGAGGCTAATTTGAAAGCTTATGATTACCTCTATACTAGACTAGATAGTAAGGAGGGAGAGAAGAAGGTATACAAACTTGCTAAGATACGGGAGAAGAAAACAAGAGATTTTAATCAAATTAAGTGCATCAAAAGTGAGGATTCTAAGGTATTGGTGAAGGATGAGGAGATTAAGGAGAGATGGAAGAACTATTTTGAGGAACTATTCAGTGAGGAACATGAAGGTACGTCAATAAGGGAAAAAATAGCTAGTAATACGATAAACCAAGACTATAGGTTCTATCGCAGGATTAGAAACTTTGAAGTGGAGATTGCACTTAAGAAGATGAAATCAAATAAGGCTTTAGGACCCAATGATATCTCTATTGAAGCTTGGAAGTGTTTGGATAAAAAAAAGATTGCTTGGTTGATTAGGTTGTTTAGCAAAATTTTGTTGACTAAGAACATGCCAGATGAGTGGAGGAAGAATATTTCAGTGCCAATCTATAAGAATAAAGAGATGTCCAGAATTGCAACAACTATAGAGGAATCAAACTAATGTGCCATATACTGAAAGTGTGGGAGAGGGCGATGGAACGCCAATTGCGAGATATAATAGAGGTGTCAGAGAATCAATTTGGGTTTATGCCTGACAAGTCAACAATGGAAGCGATCTATCTGTTGAAGAGAGTAATAGAAAAGTACAGAGAAAAGAAAAGAGACATTCATATGGTGTTTATCAACCTTGAGAAAACATATGATAAAGTGCTTCGGGATATAATATAGTGGGTGTTAGAAGAAAGGGGTGACAAAATGTTACATTGATGTGATTAGGGATATGTATGAATGGGTGGTGACCACTATTAGATCGCCTCCTAGAGAGACAAATGAATTGCCTTTCACTGTAGGGTTATACCAAGGATCTACCTTAAGTCCTTATCTTTTTGCGTTAGTTATGGATGAGTTGACGAGAAATATTCAGGATAACGTGTCATGGTGTATGCTTTTTGCAGATGATAACATATTAGTGGATGAGACTAGAGAAGGAGTTAACACAAAGTTGGAGATGTGGAGAAAAGTACTTGAATCTAAAGGATTCTAGATAAACGGAACTAAGACAGAGTACATGGAGTGTAAATTTAGTAACAATAACAATGAAAGCAGAGGAGAAGTAAAGATTGAGAACCAAGAACTGATTAAGAGTGAACATTTTTGTTATTTAGGGCCAATTATCATAACAGCGGGGGAGATTGATGCGGATGTAGCCCATAGGATTAAGACGGGATGATTTAAGTGGAGAAGTGCGTCTGGGATACTGTCCGATAAACGAATACCCACTAGACTAAAAAATAAGTTCTATAGAACGGTAATAGAAATATGGATCTACTTAATTTGACTAATGAAATGCCCTTTGATAGAGTCGCGTGGAGAAGAAGGATTCATGTAGCCGACCCCATTTAATGGGACTTAAGGCTTGGTTTGGTTTGGCTTATGCATGTGTTTTATCATCTTGGGTTCATAACATTAACATTTTTGTTCAAAAAGTGGCTAGATGGTTAAAAGCCAAAGATGGCTATGTGTATGAAGTCAGATTTTCATATCATGAAGAATCGCATTGCTTTGATTACTTTTGCATTATCTTTAGTAAAATAATCAAAGTGTATTTTTTTTGGTCGGCAACTTGTGTCAACTTTTCAGCCCAAAAGGAGATTTGTCCGGTAACCTTGGAATTTGTGAAACAACAAAGCAGCACAAAAGTCCACAAAAGCTGCTGGAGAATACACGGGTCGCACCTGCGACCATATCAATGGTGCCCACAATTAAACATACCGCGGCCGCGACCTTTACCTTCGCTCCCGTGATTTGGAGAGTCCGAAAGTCCAGCTCTTAGTACTTTTCTTTGCAACCTGTGAAGCCATACCGCGCCCGCAATGGAGTCCTGCCCAAGTCTATTTAAAGGCCCCTGGCTGATGTATTTTGTATCTCTCACACTTACATTTTCTAAGTGTTCTCTCCATCTCTCCTAAATACTTCCAACCTTTAGAGAGTTTATTTTGAGAGAAATATATTTTGAGAGAGATCATTTTTGCAAGAGAGAAATATTTTGAGAGAGTTTGTTTTGAGAGTGAACTTGTAGTGAGATTCATTTGTAACACTCTCATCTACTTGATGATACATTAGCCATAAGAGCTCAAAGCTAATCATCAAGTTTTTG